GTACGCCCTTCTAGTACATAGCTTATCTTTTAACTTTCTTGGTAGTGTTTTAATTAAAAATTTTTCATTTTTACAAGGTCTCATTTATTTTTCATTTACTGTTTGAACTTTTGTTGTTGTTGCTGTTGTTGAAATCTAAGCTGAAATGCTCCTTCATTTTCTTCTAAGAATTTTATACTTACCTTTTTCGTTTTGGGATCCTTACTCTATATTTAACTTGTTTTTGTTTTGGTACAAAGGATGAGTTCTATTTTACTTTTATGCATGTAGGAATCTAGTTAGCCTAACACTTTTTATATTAGATAATATTTTTCCCCATCAAATAGAATTAGCACCCCTGTCAAAAAATCACTTGACTACAGATGAATGAAATTCTTTTTTTTTAAACTCTGTTTTATTACATCGATAAGATATTTATCATTGTATCAGTAGCGAGCTTGTTTATATGTTTTAAAATAAGAAAATATAAAAAAATTAAAAAAATAAAATCTGAGTCATACTTTAATTTTTATCTCTCAACATTTCTTTAACTGTTCAAAAAGTAGTATTTATTTTAGACAATTTTCTTATTGAATAAGTAAGCATGTTCTTCTGGAAAAAAATATAGGAAATATACATAAGCCAAAGAAGAAATTAAGTATCATTTTTATTCCCTCAACATTGCCATTAATGGCATTGTTCTATCATTCAAGATCGTTTTGTGTGTGTGTGTGTGTGTGTGTGTGTGTACAAAGATTTATTTATTACCCATATTTTTATCCAATAGTGTATCATAAACAGCTATGCCCTTTAATATCTTTCAGAGACCCAGTTCAGAATGCCACGAAACATTGTATCATGTAGGTGCATCTTGTATTCATGAGTAGCCTACACATCTTATGCTGACTATCTGGGGAGAAGACCAAAATTGCTGCTGATTCTAGTATTTATAGTTCCTCAACCTGAGGTGTCTTTTCAGCATAGGACACTCCAATTTATTGATGACTAGGTACTAATGCAGAATTGATGATAGAGATAGATAACTTGGCTACCTGTCATCTTTTTGGTTCTAGGACAGTGGGGCTTTTCAGTTTAATTGACACCATATGGCCTCCAGTGATTCCTGAGAAGACACTTGGCCAAAGTCAGCCCTGTGAAGAGGTAAGCCAGGACTTGGGGCCTGCCCTCCTCTTTCTCCTCACTACCACCACACAGTCTCTGTGTGTTCCTGTTGAGCCTCAGTGAACTTGAAATCCACCAAAATTTCTTTCTCCACGGCAGCACACAACTGTGACCCAGAACTGAGCTTGGACCCAGCCTTTTCTCATCCCAAAGCCCACGCTCTTCCTCTGCCCCTACTCTGCTACACCAGATTTTTTTTTAAGTTAGTGTGTGATATTTTAAACTGACAGTCACCCCACATCGTTACAGCAAGTAGGATTTTAGGATCCAATTAAAGTAAGACAAAGTTTTCCCTACCACTGTGCAGTTATTCCTAAAACTGACAGTGCCGAATTACAGTAGAAACTAATGCTAACCAAATATGTACACACAGGGTGACCAAGAATTCCCATTTCCCTTCCTCATCATGTTTAAGATGGTTTATGTCCTTCCTTCTCTGCCCGTGCCTTATCCATCAAGTTGTCTAGTAGTTCCTCTGTCCTGGAGCTTTTTCCTAAAGCTGGTCCTAAGAGCTGCCTTATTCATGCACTGGCTGATGTGTCAGCAAGTGTAAAGCTGGAACTTTCACTACTCACTGCTCACAGAGGAGCTGACAAGAATGACTGTGTCTGGAAAATTTAAGAGGAAGTCATTTCTAAATGGTTTCCTCAGTATACTCTGAAGAGTAGAATGCTAAAACCAAATTTAAATTGGTAATAAATTTAAAAGTACAGAGTTCCTGCACCTGGTCACAGGCACTAGGCTCTTTTCTCAGAGGTAAACTGTCATCTGTTTCAGCTATAGCCTTCTACGGAGATTTTAGACATCTTTGTGTATATATTAAATATGTACTTATTAAAAAGTAAATTTTAATAATTTTTCACAGGCTACATTTGCCTTCATTTTAAACAGGTACAAGCTGATATGCCTCCTCCAAACTTCTGTTACATTCTCACACTTCATCCAAATTTGGGACAAATTGATATAATTGAGGAGGACCCAGTTTCTAAACTATATAAGCCTCCAGTATGCCACTGTTTAAAGGAAATTCTTCAGGTAATGTCTCTGTGCTTAACAAGTTCTACAAATACCTTTGCTTTGGCTACATGTGCTGATGATGTGACTTTCTCATCCTTCCAGGCTAGTGGTCTCGGCATGCGCTGCACCTTCTATGGCAGAGTAATTTACCAAAGACCACAGGTAATCTCTGAATCTATCTTATATGTTGTTCTTTAAAATGTCATAGGTTTTTTTTTCTTTAGTTTCTATTTCATAATCATAAACTTAATTCTACAATCCAACTAGGCCTGGAGGAGAAGAAGGAAAAACCTGAAACCCAGCTGTAGTCTATGCATAGAAGATGCTGCAAGCATATTGAGAGCAGCAGGGGGATATCCTGAATTGTAAAAGCAATGATCTTGTAGTTAAGAGAAAATCTGATAAACAGGGCACATAAGAGTTTTCCACAATTTTATTCCTGGGCCAAAAATGCTGCATGGCTTTCACAATGTTCATGCTTTCTTCCAAATTGCTAATGGCCACAGCTTCTTATCCAACCATTCTGTCTTAGAAGTACAGATGAGAATCAGGGAATTATTTGTTTTGGACCTAGCATTTGCCAGGGACATGGTGCCAGAACCTGTATTCTTCAGGAGGAAGTTGCTATCAAATTTCTCCTTGTGGGTGGACTTGCCACCAGTTCTACCATTATGACATGTAAAGTGACACATAGGGTTTCCATGAAAGCAGAAACATTTATAACCAAATCCTTTCTCCTCAGTACTTGGAGTATAAAAGTTCTGCTGTCTGTGGAACTTTATCTGCAAACAGCTCAGAGGAGACAGACTTAGGGGTTCACTGGCAATGGAAATATTGCAGTATACAGTGGGATTGACTGTGGCCGAGTTCCAGTAGGGTAGATGAGACTGCAGATTCGAGCAGTGGTGTCTGCAAAGTTTATGTGTCATGTTTTATTGAAGGATAATATCTTATAAATTATAAAAGCATTCTCTAGCTCATTTAAGCACACTCAGTGCTACCTTGATAATAAACCTAGTAAAGACATGAAGTATATCCATCAGCTACAAGCTCTGTGCTAAGGAATAGGTATAGAAAAACAGCCCATCTGGCAGTTCTCTGTTGATGGACTGTTCCAGTCATTTTTGGATAATTTTCAGCTGGATCTTGCTTGCCTGTTGATATTAATGAAAATATTTTATAATTTCCACACTGTCAGATCACAGTTTGTTTTTTTTTAAATGGGAACAAATATGGACCCCTTCTAGTCGGTTTTCCAGGTGGTTATACTCCAGATTTATTGGCACATGTTGGTGAACACGTCCAGATCAGCGTCTCTTTGTTGAAATATGTCAATTGGTATGATGTCAATTCCTGAAGCTTTGTTTTTTACCAATTCCTTCAGAGTAGCTTGAACTTTCTTCTTCATCACCATAGACTCTTGATTTCCCAAGGCAGTAAATCACATCAGAGGAGAGTCTCTCAAGGTGGATTTGAATTGCACGTCTTTACATTGGCAACTCAATTCTTTACTATTAGCCCACTAAAGTGATATGGATAAAGTAAAGATGTTCTGTTCATTAAGTCTAAAATAAGATAAACAAAGTGTGGTTAAATCTTATGTCAGAAGTGAGTGATCAGCCTTGTTTTTCAGTCTGGAAACTGTGCTGAAATTTGTCCACAGTGATGACCCTGCTGGTATTTGAAATACTGGTGGCATAGCTTCCAGTGTCATAACAATATAGAAGCCACGACAGCATGGCAAACTGACAGATGAGGAGTGGGGAAAATTGTTAGATTCCATAAATGTTTGTCATCTGCTTTATCCATGACACTATACAAATGTGAAACTCACTGTAAAATATTCCTAACATTCAGGAAATACACACTCAGCAGGAATAAAGAATGCCTGTGCACCACAGAAAACAGGGTGGAAGTGAACATTCTACATACATAAGGATTAGATAAGGAGGAAGAAAGCAATGCATTCCTCCTGCATAGGCCAGAAATGCCCTCACCCCTGAATCAATAGGCAACATCATGGTAGATGGAGAAAAGATAGAAGTCGTGAATGATTTCGTTTTACTTGAATCCACAATGAAGACTCATTGTAACAACAGTCAAGCAATCAAAAGAAGTATTACAAATGTGCTGTAATTAGCCTCTTTAAGGTGCTGGAAAGCATAGATGATGTCAGTCTTAAGCCTTAGGTGCCTTGATCCAAGCCATGGTATTTCCAGTTGCTTTTTTTGCATCTGAAAGTTGACAGTGAATCAAGAAGATGGAAGGAAAATGGATGTATTTGAATTGTCATAGTGTTGTAGAGTATGACACCATAGAATATCAGAAGAACAAACAAATCTCTGTTGGATGAAGGGCAACCAGATTGCTCCTTAGAAGGAAAGATGGTGAAACTTCATCTCACATACTTTGGTCACGTTGTCAGGAACATCCAGTCCTTGGAAGAAGACATCATGCTGGGAAAAGGTATATTTTCAGAAAAAGCAGAGGGAGACCCTCAACAAGAAGAATTAGCACAGTGGGAACCAAGGATGGCACAGGATAGGGCAAGGCTCGAATCTGTTGCTCCTAGGGTTGCTAGGAGTCCTAGTTGACTTGATGAGATCTGGCAACAAATCAGAAGTCTTTAAAAAGAAAAAAATAAGGGATCACATTTGAATTTGACATATGGAGTAGTCCAAGGGCAGGGTAGGATTGCATACCTACAAGACTTAGTAGGGTTGAGCCCATGGTGCCCTGTGGTACAGTTTATGTTAATCATTATAGGTTACTGGTTTGAAATAAAAGCCTATTTTAAAAACCCTTGTTTAAAAGTATGTGTTAAAGTGCTTCTAAAAGTTTAGTTACTAATAAAGATGAAAGATTTTTATGTTACCTTTTTTTGTTACAAGGAGAGCTATTAAGTTAATGGTTTTTATTTTATACTGGCTTATATATAAAGTTCATATACATTGTTTAATGGACTTTATTTGTCTTAAAATTGTAGCTCAAGAGTTTCCTTCTTATGCAACCAAGGGAGATTTGGCTGGTAGTGACTGACACCACCCTGCAAAGGAAGGATGAGAGTTGTTCTGATCTCCCCAGGACAGTGTCCATCTGCGTGACCCCCTCATGTGTGTTGGGCCCAGAAGTCCTGGAAGCACTCACTGTGGCTGCCCCTCACAACATCCTCTTCAGGGACGCTTTGCAAGATCGAGGTTTGCTTTCCTACTCCTGAAGACGCTGATCTAATGGCAATTATTGATCCCCATAAAATGCCTCTTGTCAATCCTGGAAGCCTCTGCCTTACTCTGGAATTACTCCATAAATCCCATCATGGGCACAGCCTCTTAGGCTAACAAGGGAAGAGGCACCAGCCTTTTGGCTTCCCTTGGCTCCATGACAGCCAGATATTGGAACAAGTCACCTTGCCAGAACTGGTACCTCACCATGGAGTTGATACCCCCACTTACACAAAAACTATCTGATTGATGTCCACACCTGCCTGGTGCAGAAACCCTGAAATGACCTAAAAGATCACTCTTTAAAATCAGCATCATAACATTTATACATTAAAATGCATAAGCTTGGATCAATCAGTCCATTTTACTTGAAATCAAAGCACAATTATTTTTAATTTTATTTTTTAAATTGTCATGAGATATACATCACTTATCATAAAATCCACCCACTGCTATGTTGTCTCACAGAACCTGGATTTGGAGAAAGAAGGTTTGCCCAGGCCCACACACATCTTCTGTGTGACTGGTGGGATGCTGGCAAAGGTGATGGTATTACCACAGGAGAAGTTGCATTTCTTCCGCCCAGTGGTAATCCCAGCTGTCTCTGTTGGCAGGCCATATTGTTTGTGTGGAACGCAGCGTCCTCTTACTTCCAAAGCCTCCTCTGAGCGTGGCTTCTGGTGCTTGTGCTTCTGACCTGACGGGGCCAGTGATGCTGGATGAACTGAGCTCCAGAACTCAAGAGTACTCCCTTTGCAGTGTTCAAGGTGGGTGATCATTTTGTTGGAGATGGCATTTACATTTCCTCAAATGTTCATTTTAGAGTTAATATGGACTTATCTACTCATTTGTTCAAAAAGTCTTTCTGGTGCATTTCTGACCTTGGGTACCCTAAGGAACAAGTCAGAAGTGGACTTTGTTGGTGCTTCCAGTCCATCTCACACCCTGACCGCAGTACACTTGACTCTGACTTGTGGTGACCCCACCACAGTAGAGTTGTGCTCCACAGATTTTTCTTTCTTTCTTTCTTTCTTTCTTTCTTTCTTTCTTTCTTTCTTTCTTTCTTTCTTTCTTTCTTCCTTTCTTTCCTTTCTTTCCTTTCTTTCCTTTCTTTCCTTTCTTTCCTTTCTTTCCTTTCTTTCCTTTCTTTCTTTCTTTCTTTCCTTTCTTTCTTTCTTTCCTTTCTTTCTTTTTTATTAAATACTGTTTGACTGAGGTGGTCTCTGCTGGTGGCTCCAGGGGCAGTGCTACTGACTGCAGGTACTTCCCTTATGTCCACACTGAAAACTCTGAGCAGCTGCTTGCTTCTTGCCCTATGCAGTCCTGAAAGCTGAGCTGTGGCTGAGTTAGGTGGGAGGTCAGAACTGAGGGTGGAGCCAGAAGACAGTGCCAGAGCCTTCTACCTCAGGGCTGTGTGCCAGCTCCCAGCAGGTGGACTCAGCATCCAGTGGGAATACAGGAGCCCTGTGGGGCAGGTGCAGAGGACTGATGCAGTCATGCTCGTATGAGCCTATAAAAAGTTAATAATTATACAAAGTTATTATTTTAGCCACAATAATAAATATTAATACTACCATACTAACACTTATTTTAAAAGTAATGATGCTTGACTTTCCCAGAAAACATGATTAACTCTCTAATCTTTGGTATGAATCTGAATTCTTTCACATGTGTCACAAACTAAAGTGCACTGCAACCACCAGATGTCCTTGACAAATTTGTATGTAACCTGCGGGGAATGAGTGATCAGGCCTGGGGTGAAAGTGGGTTGAGTGGAAGTGCAGAACCCAGATCCCAGACCTTGGAGTGGTCCTGAGACAGAGGAAGGAGGTCAGCATGCCAGGCCCACACTCATGTCTAATTTCAGGGAGTGTGCTGGAGGATCACTCATTGTGTTGGGCTTCTCTTTGGGTTCTGGGGTGTCCACTCTGCAGGTGGAGAATATAGTGACTGTCCAGATGCCCTTAAGGGGCCATTTGCTGTAGTCACCAAGTCATCAAATCCCTGGCAGAGTCAATGGCAGTAAGCCTGTCCTTTCCCTCCTTTCCACACCTGCCCCCATCAGTTGGGCATCCTCTCTCTCCTGGTCAGGCGCCTCCTGCCCTGTACTTCAGGCCCCAGCTGCAGCTCCTTCACTGGACAAGCTTAGACCCATTGGGCAGGCCTGGTCCTGCACCCCGCCCCAGGGTGCACAGTGGGGCACTACCTGTCTCAGGAGGACCCATGCTGCTGCACCCCTGAGCTTGCTGCTACTTTCCCTCCAAGCCCACAGCAGCTGGGAGCAGGATGGACTCTCTCCTTCAAGAAAAAAATTCTGGGCCCCAACTTCTTCTTTCAGTCAGGAAATTGAGTGTGGAGAGAAAGTGTAAGAAAGAGTTAAAAGGTTACAAGGGAAATGTTCAGTGAGGGCCCGCAGGGCCTGAAGGGGATGGCTGCTTAGCTGTGTGATAGTTTAGTAAGTGATAAGCCTTTCCCAGATCCGACTGCAACATGTTAGAAACATGTTGCATAAACATAAGTAACATAAAGGTTTTTAAAAGCAAACTGGGGCTGACTGATGGAATGTCACAATTTTGAAAATTCTTCTCCTTCCAATACATACTAATAGTTTATGTATGCTTCCAAGCCATCCTGCAGTTCAGTTTAATAAGGGAAGTCATAAGGGAAGTCATGAAATTCCTTTCTCAACCCTCTTCTCAATTTGTAACCTAATTGGAGGGAAATTGCTTAAGTTCGTATAATTGTAAATTTAATTAACAACCACATATATCCTGGGGGGAGGAGAAGCTTTGATATGATGTATGTCTAACTTTTATTAATTGATCTAACTAGTTTGTCAGCAAGTCCTGTTGTGATCTCTGCACTACTGAGCTCAAGCACCTGGGAGGAGCCAAGGCCTGCCTCAGCTCTGTCCCCATGCACAGAACCAGCCCTCCTCCTGCTTCCTCACCCGAACCTTACCCCATCCAAACCTGTCCCTATGCATAGGCCCCGCCCTCCTCCTGCTTCTTTGCCCCAACCCCACCCCCTCCTACGCCTCTGTCTTCCTTGAAGGCCTCATTACCATGGATTATAACTCACTATTGACTTTCCTTTTCATCCCCTTGACCCACTTTTTGGTTAAATTTGCAAGGATAATGCCATTAGTTGTGGTAGCTTTTTAAAAATGAAGATCTTTTATTCTCATTTTTAAGAAGTCATTCAAGGATGCATTGTATGAAGACATTTTAATAAAACAAGCCTACTTAGTTTTCATAATACTGTTTTATCCTCTTCAAATGAATTGTCTTATGTTTGTTCTGTTGGAAATTAAATTCATTGCTGCAAAAGTGAAAAGGATAGCTGTTTGATTTTTCCAGAAACTCAAGTCCTATCTTGCTATCTCTTCAAACTTATCATTTCAGTACTTTGAGCAAAGGCTAGTCTGAGTTTTGCTGGTACAGTTAGTTGATTATCTTGAATTCTTCTTTCCAACAGTATCTCCCCACCTCAGTCCCCTGCTTTCAGGTTTTTTTGGTAGATTCTCTTCCAAGATAACTGTGTGTGTGAAATTATGTGCCACACACACACACACACACACACAAGCATTCACATATGTTGTTGCAGGAGCCAACTCATAGCTGCCTCTCCAGGGGTTTTTGGAGGCAGTAAATTAATACAGGAGGAGATTGTCCATTTTCACCCCCAAAAGCCAGTGGTAGATTCAAACCACCAGTGAAGCGCCACATTTCCCTTAGAGTGTAACTCCCTATGGACATGCCAGTGCTAGAAAATATTCAGCAAATCCAGCACAGTTGGCCATTCCTGGTACATGGGCTGCACTTGCTGCTGCCCTCAGCAGCCTCCCTTACCTCCTGGTCTACAGATCATCTCAGGCCCCATCCTGCATGGTTCCTTCCCTGATGCCTCAAGCTGAGTTCGCATCTCACTGCTGCACGCTTAGGAATCTTCTTCACTGTGGTGGTGTGACTGGTATCCTGTGGCAGACTCGCTGTCTCTGCATCACTCATACATCTCCCACCTTGTTCTTTTCTACATGCCTCCCTCTTATACATCACTAAGTTGCAGCCTTCTGGCTGAATAAAGAAATGTGCAAGTGACATATTTATATTATTAATTACAATGTTGTTGTTGTTATGTGCCATCGAGTCATTTGCGACTCATAGCGACCCTATGTACAACAGCCCTAAACCCTGCTCTAACCTGTGCCAGTCGCATGGTGTCTGACACACCCATCCTGATTATCCCAGTCACTGAGTCAGTCCACCTCATAGAGGGTCTTCCCCTCCTGCGCTGTCCCTCCACCTTACCAAGCATGACATCCCTCTCGAAGGATCTGTCTCTCCTTACAATAGAATGTTTATATTATTAAAAAAAGACATGTTTATATTATTAATTGCAATAAGGAAACTAAGAACATTATGTGTAACATATATGACAGGCAGAAGTTTATGTATTATGTTGTTGTCACTGGTATTGTTTGGCCTAGGGCAAAGGTGTACAGGCAATGGTGAGAGCAGCTGTGGCTCCGCTAAGGTCTTAACCACCAAAGCAGAGGTCCATGGGTAATGAGGAAGGCAGGCAAGGCCCTCCCTGGTGCCTTCAGACCCTTGGGCCTAGCTACCCTCTGGCCTGTGCTAAAAACCGTTCTAGAGATCCAGCTGAGCCACTGTCTGTGCCAATACCCCCATCCAGGACCACACCCTGCTAAACCACCATGGGTCTCAGCTGCGGTCTGAAAAGGATGTCTTGTATACTTGGTAGTATTTACGATTTGCTTTTAGAGGTACAACACCCATCTGTCAGTTCATTTATTGGGGTGTGATTGGCATGTTGCCAATTACTTTATATCTCGGGTGTGTGTTGTTAGGTGCTATCAAGTAGAGTGCAACTCTTAGCGACCCTATGAACAAAGGATCTGAACCCCGTTCTAGGCTGTACCACCTCACACTTTGTGCAGCAACCACCGTGTCAATCATCTGGTCAAGGGTCTGCCTCTCCTTTGCCAACCTTCCACTTTTCCCAGCATTACTTTTCTCTCCAAGGACAGCCTCTCCTAGCAACATGCCCAAAGTATGTGAGGCAAAGCCTCAACATTCTTGCCTCCTAAGAGCACACTGGTGCCAGACTATTTGATTATTCTTTTGGCAGTCCGTAGAATGTTCAGTCCTCCTCTCAAACACCACAGCTCAAAGGCATAAATTCTTCTGTCATCTAAATTCACTGTCCAGCTCTCAGGTGCATAGTACGTGATCAGAAAAACCATGGCCTGTATCAAATGCACCTTAGTTCTCAAACTGACATCATTACTCCTCAGTAGTGTTCCTGAACTGCAGATTTTCCCAGTGCAATGAATCTCCTTGTTAAGATGAAGTTGAAAGTGTCAGTCACTTCTCTATCCATCGTGATGTTATCTATTAATCCAGTGGTAAGAATCTTTTTTTTCTTGACATTGAGATGCAGTCCATATTGATGCTGCATTCCTTGATCGTCAACAAGTGCTTCAGGTACTTCTCACTTTCAGTAACCAGGGTTGTGTCATCTGTGTAACAAAAATTACTGATGAATATCCCTCCAATCCTGATGCCACATTGCTCTTCACAGGGTCCAGCTTCTCGAATAATTTGCTCACCGTACAGATTAGATAGGTATGAAGAGAGAATACAACCTTTCCTTCTTAATTTTAAGCCATGCAGTGTTCTCTTGCTTTGTTCACACAACAGCCTCCTGGTCTAAGTAGAGGTTTTGCATGAGCACAGTTAAGTGC